CGGGGCTCCTTAAGGTAACAAGTGTCAGCAATGATGTAGACAAATTGGAGCCCACACATATTGTTGATGATGTCATTAGCAATTTTGAGTCATTTTAATATTACTAATTTTATCTCTTCCTAATATATTGACCCTTTTATCTTCATGACTACAATGAGTCTAGACAACTGAAATGGAGTTTGCCAAATTGCAAAGACTGAGGGGGAAGGCCAGCTGAGACTGCCCTAACTTCAAGCACACTAGCTACAGCTTACGGGGTCCCCAGTACCATCCTTACTTTAGACCAGCCTGGCAGTTCCTCAACTGTTGAGCATCCCTGACCCAGCAATTCCACTTGGGTATAATGAAAATGTAGACCCACGCAAAAATGTGTACGTGGATGTCCACAGCAGCATATTTGCAATTACCATAGATTCAGACATGGTGAAGGCCTGGGGCCATGCAACCAAACTGGAAACAACCCAAATGTCCATCCTCTTGCTGAATGGATAACAAGATGTGGTCTACCCATACAATGGAATTCTACTCAGTAGTCGAAAGAAATTAAGTACTAATGGTGTTACAACTTGGGTGAACCTCAAAAACATGCTAAGTCAAAGCTGCCACATGCAAAAGCCTACGTATTGTCTGTTGCCATTCATATGAAATCAGAGATGAAAAGAGATCAGTGGCTGCCTAAGGCAGTGGGTGGGAGTGGGATTTACAGCAAATGAGTATTGGAAATGTTCTCACACTGGATTGAGGTAATGGTTACACAACTCCATGTACTTTTACTAAAATCCTTGAGCTGTACATTACGATGGTAAATTTTACGATATGTAAATTGTAACTCAAAAAAGCTGTTTAAAAAACAAAACAAAATAAAACCACCCAAATAAGTAGAAACTGGCATGGCCGGAGTCTCCTTGAATCTCATGTAAATGAAGAGAGAGCTGAGAACAGGGAGAAGCCCTAGGCCCTAACACTGTACATACATGCACACATACTCAGTTCTCTTTTCAGAGGTTGCTTCAATGTCCAGTGCTTGACTTACCTTTCCCTCTAGCTCAAAGGTTATTTGCCGTTTGTGGCCCCCAACTCTAACGCCTTCCTGCACCCAGGATAATGCTGCTTGGGGGTCTGCTTCTTGGGCTAGACTGAAACCTCCTCAGAGCAAGGGCATCATCACTGTACACTGTAACTGATGCCCAGTCGGTGCTGGTGAACAGAGCTGCCAGGAGTGAATGTTTGCCAAATTAAAGAGAATTAGGAGAGAGGGCAACTTGGAATCTAACAAGCTCAATCAGGAAACATCGAATGAGTAACAGATCTTAATTTAGGAGTTGGCCCAAATTTGTTCAACTAAGCATACAGAGATAGAAGTCTGCACACCACCTCAAATTTAAACATACTTGCCTTGGCTCTGGTCAAATTTGTATTCTTAACTCAATGCCATCAGTTCACAGACAACAAATTATAATTTCTAAGATGAGCCTGCTCAACATGAGACCTCCCCACCCCACCCCACGCCCCCCACACAACCACTAGTATATGCATCTGACTCCTCTTTCTAGCTCCCATCTGATCCAGGCGCGGGACCAACACCTGACAAGTTAGGGCATTGTGGCCAAGGCAACCTCCAAGGTGGCCTGTATACTGCTGGTCACCCCTTTGGGGCAAGTACGAAATATAGTAAGGTTGGTGCCAAGGCCTGTTTCTTAGGCTCTTGGACCTTAATCTTGGAAAAGGGACCGGTAGTAGCCGTAGAGACGGGTAGGCTAGAGCTGCTATCGAATCGGAAAGATCACGAAGGGAAGGACCCTCCAGAGTCCTCAGAAGTGTGGGGCTAGAGGGGGAGAAAGGCGTGTTCCCCGAGGGGCGGGAGGGCTACTCTGGCCGTGGCAGGGGGTAGAATGGGCGGTGCCCCGCTAGGGGACCAGGGGAGTAGGCAAAACCCTGGTTCTGAGAGTGAGAAGCTGGGCGAGCCCATCCCTGACGATCTGCGTGCGGGGCGAGACTTGGGGTGAGGAGGCCTGGTTTTAGGGGGCGATGGCCCCCAGTGCCCGGCTCTGGAGGGGAGTACGTGTCCCGGAGTCCCTGGGCGCGTCACGCGAGGGGGCGGGCCGGGCGCCAGGGGGTGTGACTGTGGGCCCGCGAGGCTGGTCCGCTGTCCGCCCGGCGATGCCGCCCCACAGCGCGAGTTGAGCGAGCGGGCGGGCGGGTGAGCGAGCGGCGTCCCGCTTCTGAGGCCCCGGGACTCACCTTCCTCCCTCCCCACAGGTTGGGCCCCGGACACCGCTTCCCACAGGCGGCGCGCCCTCTCGCGGTCGCAGCGCACCCCATCCGGTTCCCGGCCCGCCCGCTCCTCCATGCTGCTGTACGGCCCGGCCCCTCGGCCGGCCGCGGCCTCCACGGTACCCAATGCGGGATAGTCCATCTTTCCCGCAAGTCCTAACCGGTCGGGAGCAGCTCACGCGTTTTGGTCTCGCGAGATGTAGGTCGAGGGCGACTCTGCCCGGCCAACAAATCTCGCGAGGTTTGCGCGCAGCCGAGTCGCGGCACGTCTGCATGTTGGCCGTTCGTAGCTTTTGTTATCCTTAGGGAAGCTGTGTTTGGCTTGGCGCTTGGTCCTCGTTTTGCTTATGGCTCGCCTCTGACACCGTTTTCTGACACACATTTTCCCTTTTTACGAAGGTCTTGCTTCGTGAAAATAATTCCCCCATTTTACTGGTGGGGAAACTTGAGGCCCAGGACTAGAAATTGGCTTAATCAGTTCTATGCATTGGTCTGCTAACTGCAAGGTCAGCGGTTCGAAACCACCAGCAGCTCCATGGACGACAAGGAAGTTTCTCTACTTCTGTAAACAGTTACAGTCTTAGAAAACAACAGGGGCAGTTCCAACCTGTCCTATTGGTTCGCTGTGAATCAGCATAGACTTGATGGCAGTGAGTTTTGTTTTGGTTTAGAAGAGTATACTATTAGTAAATGTTAGCACTAAGCTTTCATCTCATAGTTCAATGACTGCTAATAAAATTTTGAGTTCCACAAACCAGCTCACACTCCAGACCTTCCCCAGAATTCCCGACTTCTATATCTAGATGCCTGCTTTTCTAATGGAAAATTTGATCTTCCAAATACAAATCTCTCCTCTTTCAGGAGGCACCAGCATTAGCCTAAGGAATCCTCTTGAGCATTCTGAGATCTGTCTGCAGTGGGGGAAGGAGGGGAGGCTAGGACCAAAGGCACCAGAGACTGGCACTGGAGACCAGAGTAAAGGAGCCAAGCCATGACCAGAGGCAAGGAAACCGTGAGACAGAACAGGAGTAGCCACAAGACTGTGAAGAAGAGTAGTGGGTTGCTTTTCTGGCCCATGGAGGTAGGGGCTCAGGGACCACGTGGCTGAATGAGAGAGTGTGGCTGCTGGCTGAGGAGATTATTGCTGTGGACTATATCTGTATTGTTTACTGATCCCTGGCTTGTGGTAACCAGATAAGTCCCTCCATAAACCCTTTTAATTGTATTATTTGCGAGTCCAGTGTGGCCATTGCAATGTGAGTGAACTCAGCATAAACTTAGAGTGGTGTGGGAGCAACGCTCGGCTAAAGAAGGATATGGAGTATGGAGGCATGTGGGACCCATCTTGTGGCAATGAGGAAGCCAGAGGAGGTCAGATGTGGTTCCCTCATCTGAGCAGCAGTAAAGAAGTCAAATATATTGCACTGGGCAAATCTGCTGCACAAGACCTCTTTAAAGCATTAAAGAGTAAAGATGTCACTTTGAAGACTAACGTGTGCTTCACCCAAGCCATGGTATTTTCATTCTCCTCATATGCAGGTGGGGGTTGAACAATAAAGATCACCAAGTAATTGACACAGTTAAATTACAGTATTGGGAAAGAATATGGGAAGTACCATGTACTCCAGAAAAGCAAACAAATCTTTCGTGGATGAACTACAACCAGAATGCTCCTGAGAAGTGAAGATGTAAGACTTCATCTCAAGTGCAATGGACATGTTATCAGGAGAGGTAGTCCCTGGAAAATGACATCTTGCTTAGTAGAGTCAGCAAGAGGAGGAAGATCCTCAATTGGATGGATTGACACAGTGGCTGCAATAATGGGCTCAAACAACAATTGGGATGGTGCAGAACAATTGGGATGGGAGTGTTTTGTTACACACAGGTATCAATATGAGTTGGAACTGATTCAATGGCAGTTCACAACAGCAACAACAACATGAAAACCCTGGTTAGATTGATGGCTGATGCAACTCCTGTGTAGCAATACCCATCTGTTGTGCAGGCTTGTGTGTGGCTATGCCACTGAAAAGGCTTTAGCAGAGCTTCCAGACTATGATGTACTAGGAAGAAAGGTCTAGTGGTCTTCTGAAAATCAGTCAGTGAAAACTCTGAACATCACGAAGGTCTAGGTTGCCAGGAATCGATAGACTTGATGACAGCTAACAACAACCCTGCCTAAAATGTATTCCCTGGCTACCCTTTCTCAACTCTTACCCCATCCAATCACACTTTATATCTTCTTTTTCCATAACTTCATAATTGAGCATAGTATATATCTTACTTTCTTTCCCTCTACTTCTTTTTTAAAAATCAGTTTATTAGGGGCTCATACAACTCTTATCACAATCCATACATACATCAATTGTGTAAAGCACATTTGTACATTCATTGCCCTCATCATTCTCAAAACATTTCCTCTCCACTTAAGCCCCCGGCATTAGGTCCTCATTTTTCCCCTCCCTCCCTGCTCCCCCCCCTCTCATGAGCCCTTGATAATTTATGAATTATTATTTTGTCATATCTTGCCCTGTCCGACGTCTCCCTTCACCCACTTTTCTGTTGTCCGTCCCCCAGGGAGGAGGTCACATATAGTTCCTTGTAATCAGTTCCCTCTTTCCTACCCACTCTCCCTCTACCCTCCCAGTATCGCCACTCACACCACTGGTCCTGAAGGGATCATCTGCCCTGGATTCCCTGTATTTCCAGTTCCTGTCTGTACCAGTGTACATGCTCTGGTCTAGCCAGTCTTGCAAGGTAGAATTCGTATCATGATAGTGGGGGTGGGGAGGAAGCATTTAGGAACTAGAGGAAAGCTGTATTTTTCATCGCTGATACATCGCACCCTGACTGGCTCATCTATATTTTACTTTTATTTTGTTTACTGTTTGTCTCTCCTTTACAAGGCAAGCCTCAAGAAGGAGCACATGTTTTTCTATTTTGTTCTTAGGGGACTCCTTCAGCACCTTGAAATAGAGCTTGGTTGATAGCGTTGTTACAGTTAGGTGCCGCAAATGCGCTGAGTCTTAGCAACCATGTGTACAACAGAATGCCAAGACCAGCGCCATCCTCATTCTCTATGTTTGAGCCCCTTGTTGCAGCCATGGTGTCAATCTTTTTTTCTTTTTCACAATTATTTCTTTTTTTAAATTTTAAATTTATTTTAATAATTTTATTGGGGGCTTATACAACTCTTTTTTTTGAATGATTTTATTTATTTATGTTTTGGTTTCTTTTTTTAATCATTTTATTAGGGGCTCATACAACTCTTATCACAATGCATACATACATCAATTGTGTAAAGCACATTTGTACATTCATTGCCCTCATCATTCTAAAAACATTTGCTCTCCACTTAAGCCCCTGGCATCAGGTCCTCCGTACAACTCTTCACAATCCATACATTCATTCATTGTGTCAAGCACATTTGTACATTTGTTGTCATCATCATTTTCAAAACATTTCTTTCAACTTGAGCCCTCGGTATCAGCTCCTCATTTTTTCCCCACCCTTCCCCTCTCTCCCTCCTTATGATCCCTTGATAATTTATAAATTATTATTATTTTTCCATGTCTTGCACTGTCCGATGTTTCCCTTTACCCCTTTATCTGTTGTCCATCCCCCTGGGAGGAGGTTATAGATATGTCATTGTGATCGGTTCTCCCTTTCTCCCCCACCTTACCCTTACCCTCCTGGTATGGCTACTCTCAATATTGGTCCTAAGGGGTTTATCTGTCCTGGATTCCCTGTGTTTCCAGCTCTTATCTGTACCCATGTACATGCTCTGGTCTAGCCGTATTTGTAAGGTAGAATTAGGGTCATGATAGTGGGAGGGGGGGAAGCATTAAAGAACTAAAGGAAAGTTGTATGTTTCATTGGTGCTATATTGCATCCTGACTTGTCCGTCTTCTACCCGAGACCCTTCTGTAAGAGGATGCCCAATTGCCTACAGATTGGCTTTGGGCCTCCACTCCCCACTCCCCACCCCCCCATTCCCATTGACATGATTTTTTGTTCTGGGTCTTTGATGCCTGATCCTGTTGACACCTCATGATGACACAGACTGGTGTGCTTCTTCCATGTGGGGTTTGTTGCTTCTCAGCTAGATGCGTGCTTGTTTATCGTCAAGCCTTTAAGACCTCAGACGCTATTATCTTTTGATAGCCAGGCACCATCAGCTTTCTTCACCACATTTGCTTAGGCACCCATTTGTCTTCAGCAATCTTGTTGGGAAGGTGAGCATCTCAGAATGCCAGATTATTAGAACAAAGTGTTCTTGTGTTGAGGGAGTACTTGAGCAGAGGCCCAATGTCCACCTGCTTCCTTAATACTAAACCTATAAATATATGTAACTTAGATCTATTTCTTCATTGCCATATATTAATATATTTACATATGTATGTGCCTGTATTTAGATCTCTATAAATGCCCTTTGCCTCTAGTTCTTTCTTCTATTTCTTTTAACTCTCCTCTTGTCCCACCATCATGTTCAGCCTTCATTTGGCTTTTACTAATTCCTCTCGGTTACATTGCCCTTGATCAAGCCCTACCAGACCTGCCACACCCTCTCACCATTGATTTTCGATCACTTGTTGTTCCCTTGATCCTGGATTTGTTAACACCACTTCCTTTCTCCCAACTCCCCCTCTCCCATGTCCCCCCCGAACTGTCATCTTGTTGTTTTCTCCTCCGGCTTGTTTATCCTGCCTAGTGTATCTAGATAGACATTCAGAGATAATAATATGTGCAAATACAAGACTGACTATAACAAAGCAACGGTAGAAAATAAAACAATAACTCCAACAACAACAACAAAACAACAACCAAAAAAAGCCTATAAATAGTTCAAGGTCTATTTGTTGCCCTTTACGAGTGTTTTCCAGTTGAGTCTGATGGGGAGTCATGCCCTGGCCCCACAGTCTATTTTTGGTGTTCCCTGGGGACTTCATTGCTCTGCTCCCCTTGCTGTTCTGTTGTATGCCCTTAGTGTTTTGCCTTGGTGTGGTGAGGTCAGAGTGGGCACAATTCCTGCATTCTGTCTCCAGTGTTGTCTCCCGTAGTGCTGTGGGTCAGTGAGGGAGGTTGTGTCTCGTGGTGGGGCCAGACCCTCAGGCCTCTCCTCTATTGGTTCCTTGCTTCATG